TAATTTAATTCAGCTATACCACAATTTAGTAACGTAGTCTAGATTAAAAATCAAATCCGCTTTCTTATAAATAATATTGTTAGAAATAAACCGAAAATTAAATATCCTTTTAACAACTAATAAGACATAATTTCAAATTCAAAGTCAAAATGTGTGAAATTAGCTACATGCGATGAAGATCAGTCCCTTCTGTTTGTTTCAATATAGTAAACAATGAGTGGGTGCAAATACTAAGAAATTGTCCAACTTCCATTGTTCCTTTTTGGCTTAAATTGGTTACGTGTCTAAATAATTAGCTTAACAAGAATGGTCATATGTATTGTACTATTCAACGTTGTTCCAACACCATTTGTTTCAGCTTTTCATCTTAGACCAGCTTCTACCACTTACAAACATTTTCTTTGCTCAAAGTAAATTCACCATATACCGTTCGCAACATTTCGAGTGTTTTGCAGCACCGTATTTCATTTTTTACAAAACATTTTTTGCAAATTCGTCTAACGCTGCTGTCTCACAGAAAAAAGTAAACGTAATATTATAATTAATAATATCAAAGAATTGAAATAGTTATTCCCATATCCTCGAATTATTAAAACAAGCAAAACTGAAATTAAACCACCTTCGCATACTATACCACTTAAAAACAGTATTAAAAACATAATCTGCTAAATTTATTCAAAATGCTAATCTTATAATATAAAAAGATCACTAAAAATTCTAAACTCACTCTTAATAATAAACAATTTCTTTTTAAAGTAAAAAAAAAAACAAAGCAATAATAAATATAAAACATCTAAATATATTATAACTAATTATCATTAAATAAATTTAACTTAAATAATTTAATTGAAATTTTTCAAAAGTCACCTTACTTTTTGAACACACCCGTGCGAAGCATAAATATGCCCAGACGGCAAATCGCATTCAATAAGGTTACATTTACTTTTCTTCAAATTAACAAAAGAAAATTTTGGAAAATGCGTAACCAGTGACGTGCTCACGGGATTTTCAATATATCGCGCGGATAATTAAAAACCCATCGACGTCACGGGCAATTAGGTTATATATGCGTTTAAGCGAATAAAACGGACCGTGGTAAATAATGAAGTGCAAACGTGTTTAAAGTTTCATCAGGGAAAGCAATTTGGCTCCGCATCATCCGGCGTTGCCAAATTAATGAACCCCCTCACGTGAAATTCAATAAGGCGCATGTAGGTGAACCTTCAAAGTGCCTAAATAAACTTTGGTTAGTTTTTGTGGAGCGCCGAAACTAGTTCGGCTCGTCTTTCGGCAAACAACGAATTAAATTAGTAGTAAATTCTCTCGCGATGACGCGTTTTCTTTCGGTGACCATTTCAAACGGGCCGAAAATAATCGAAACGTCGAGCTCTTTATTTTGTGATCGTACATTTGAGGAAACCCCCCCGTATTTACTTTACTTTAAGCAATAAATTAATTAATAAATTAATTAATTAATTTTTAATTTTTGTAATAGTTGAAATAAAAAATAAATACCGCGACGGACAAACATTTCTGAAAAAAATCATATTGCACCACCTCGAGGACTACCTGTTTCAGTTTTTCGGTGAAAATGGAGGCTTAAATAATTATAGTACACGGGAGAGGTATCAAAAGGACGGCAACTCCACACCGGTAATTGTATACTTCTCGTTTGCCTAAAACAAAGGACAAAAAGATAATAGCATTAATTTTCATCTAAATGCTCTTCACGAAGAAGCTTTCTCTGACTGTATAATTGAAGTTTAGAGGAGCTCCCATTTCCATCCTACCTAATTACACAGAGGCAGCTGTTGCAGGCACACTTCCTTCATTAAACACAAACGAGGTTTAAAAATTCATAGGCCACTTGCATTGCGTAATCGAAGAGAGAGTTTTTTTAATTTCGATTGAAAAGAAAAGAAAAATTATAGTTTTCTCTTCTCTCCTAAATCAGCACTATTTTTGAAAGGGTGGGAACGATCCATCAATCTCTTGTCACAAGTTGGAAAAAATGGGTGTGCGAAGAAAAACCTTACATTGAGTTGGATCGCCTCTTAAGAATCGTACTCAGCAGGGAGTAGAGACAGAATGTTGACAGAAACATATATACATAGATCAGTCACTAAAATTTCCATATAAATATTAATATAACAGAGTTATTACAGTTCTTGGACTTTATTATTATTATATTAAAAGCTCGATCGAGATTTAGATACGAACTTCTTTTGGTTTGATTTTGACAGCGTTTTGCTTATGTAAATAATGTCGTTACATACTTTTGACCTATTTTTGTGGAAAATTGTATTCTCTTTGGCGAGTATGTACTGGATTCTGTTGTATTTGTGAGAAATGTAACTTCACCTCTAATCAGAAAAACGTGAACTATTCCATAGTACAATTCATAACTATGTCTTGCAAAAGACCTTTTAATCATTGAATGGATTCTTTATTGAAAAGAATAAATCAAATTTAAGATTATATATTGCACATGCATATGTATTCTAATTTGTATATTCAAATGACCGTTTGAAGATGCCATGTGACTTTTCTCTTTTGGGGTACTTCAGACTAGGTTGTATGCCGTTGCGCTATTTTTCCTTTTGTTTGTCTATCTATCTATCTCTCTATATATCTATGCATCTGTCTATCTCTCCATCTATCTATCTATCATCTACGAGGTTAGCGCCAAAATTTCTCGGCCTGACATAGATGCAGTTCCATTATCACGATAAAACTTTTTCTTCTGTTAAATATATATCTTAGTAGTTTTTTGTTCACAGCATTTTAAACAAGACGTGTTCGAATAAATGTTGCAAATAACGCAAATTGAGGATAGAGCAGTCATAAGGTTTTTGACCAATGAAGGGTTAGCACGAAAAATTATTAAAGAAAGGCTTGATGGTGTGTACCGCCAAAGTTCTCATTCCTATTAAGAATGGGCAAAACGTTTTCGAATGCGGCAGGAGTCCCTTGAAGATGATTCAAGAACTGGTCGACCAGTGGAGGTCATAACGGAAGTCATTGTTGCGATTGTGGAAGAGATGGTATCGAGTGATCGACGTTTAAAGGTCAACGAAACCCCAGAAATTACTAAGCTTTCGTCGAATCCTGCATGATCATTTAGGTATGCATAAGGTTAGTGCGAGATGGGTTCCTAAAAACCTTTCGGCTATTCAAAAACAACGCCGTGTCGAATGTGCGCGGTCTTTTTTGGGACTCTGTGGGTCGGAACCGAAGCCTGTGATAAAAAAAAACTATGGTTCTATATTATGACCTTCTAGCGAAAAAAGAATTAATAGAGTGGCGTCGTAATGGTCAAGCACATCCAAGAAAATTCAGAGTCTGCCAGTCAACAAAAAAGGTGATGGCCACGATCTGTTGGGATTGTGAAGGAATTCTTTTGATATATTTTAAAGAAACTAATACCACTGTCAATGGTAAATATTACGCAACATTATTACATAAATTGCGAGAGGCGTGCGTCTTTTACACGATGATGCACCTGTCCGTACTGCTGGTGTTGCACAAGCTGGCATTGTAAAGTGTGGGTTCCAACAGATAGATCATCCTCCCGATGGTCCAAATATTTGAAAAAGGACTTACGTGGACGGCGGTTAAACGACGAATTTGAGCTAAAAGAGGCTGTTTAGCACATTTTGCAGACAAACCAAAAGAATATATATTGTTAATAAACAGATGTAATAAGTGCATTGAAGTTAAGGGGGAATTATATTGAAAAATAATACAAAATTGTTACTCTACTTTGTTTCATTCATATTCAGGCCGGGAAATTTTGGCGCTGCCCTCATATCTATCTGTTTAGCTACCTATCTATATACCTTTCTTTAAAACTGTTTTTAGAAATTTGTGATAACACATATATCGTGCAATATGTTGATAGACGCCAATTTAGTCACGGGCTTAAATGACTTAAGAAATTTATCAACGTATTGCATACTATACTACGACAGTTTCACAAACTGCTGCTTCTACCTCTTCCATTCAAGATGTCTATCGATATCATCAATATACTTAGATAACATTTTGGTCTATTTGGAATTAAGATGCATGCAGAGCAATAGGACCCCAGCTAGCAACCATTAAAACTAATTTACTCCCGCAGACACTGCCGATCACGAGAAAGCAAAAAATCTGATCAGTAACTGAGTAACAAAAACTTTAAAACTCTCGCCTAAGGTTAACTTATAGGGCACGAAAGTCGTCAGTATACTTGAAAGTACTAACAAATTTCATGAATGCTTATTATGCATAACAAATTGAGGTTTCTTGGAAAAAAAACCATAATTAACGGCATAATAAATTATTGGAAAGATGATTTCAATATTTTAATTATTTTCGAATTCAATTCCATCGAAGAACTTTAGGACATATTGTCAAACAAATTGACCAAAAAGGACGCCATTTTTGGCAAAAAAAAAGGATTGTTCATGACCTTTTTTAATCATTTCGTTGTTGTTTAAATTTTGAAGTTGTTTGTTGTTGGTTGTTGCCCACTTTTTTTTCTACAAACCTCCATTGTTGTTCTCTTGCTTCACATTGAGGACACTGTATAAACTACAACAGGAACTTCGTCGCTACCCGACGCCGCCGTAATTATAAACATCAAATTATGATCGAAATGGCTACGTCGAGCCTAATAGAACGGGCAATTTTCAGGCTGGCAAATTACAAGGTTCGAATGGAAGTTTAGAGTGACCTTTGTGCGCTAGGGTCTTAATCAATTTAAACACCGGAGATTTAATTTCCTTCGATCGGAGGGCATCAAAGTCGAATAATTCCGGTCAAATATTCTCTCATCTAGGATACGGAATTAGTTCAGACCGGTGAGTCACGGGCCGCCATTGCAGGAAACTCGAAGGTCTCGCTACGAAATACGCCAAGGTTGTTTTGTACTGGTTTCCGGTCGTTTGTTCCGGCATTTGATTTTAACTTCGGCCTTTTTATAGTACGACGCATAAAAATAAACGTTAATGATCCTATTTCTCTGGGCCACATACCCTGGACATTTTTAAAAATAGTTAAAAAGCTCAAACGGTGGGTAGGTTGCTCACCAAGATTTCACCGTGCAAAACCTGGATTTAACACTTACAAGGTAAGCTTAGATTATTCTTTTAGTGTTTTTTTTATTAGTATCAATATTAATATAAAATATGGTGTCCAAACCAATGGCACTTCTGAACCAAAGAAGGGTTTCAGTGTTTGAATAACTGTTATGATTTTAATATATAAACAATCGAAGAAATAAAATTATGTTAATAGAGATATTTCTTACGTAGATCCAATTTAATATATATATCATATCAATATATCATAAAAAAAAACCTCCTATCGAACTTTATCTTGGACTTTTCCAGGGTTGTGAACATCTGACTGCCAAACATTGACACTATTTCGTGACGTATCGAAGCGGAAGGTGGTAATTTGATGCTCTGAAGGACATGGTTAGTTCATCACTTCTAGCTCATTATTTAGCAAAATACAGCAGTTACAGATCATCTGTATCTTGGAATAAAAGAATTTCTGTGAGTAGACGATCTCCGGTACACGGCTACAATTCCCTTTTGAATTACGTAATAATAACTGATATTAACTTAAACTTAGGCTTTGCTGTCTCTGCCTGTGCCTCGCCTCATGAGCCGTAAACAATTCTTCAGCTTTGAGAGTAGTATCACTGCCTCAATGAAAATCAGTTCTTCTATTGAACAATTTCTACTTCAGAAACCTCAAACATTGTCCAAAAGTAATAAGTAAAAGTAAAGTTTCGCAGCAATATTGACATTTTTACTGGGGAAGATCCATGTAATCTGACATTTTATAAAAGAATCGTGTATAGACGATGTTGTCGTTATATGACTCGACACGACTTCGATTTTCTTCAAAGTCTTTTAAATTATGTAATACTAACATATATATTTCTTCTAGATATTAATAATTTGCACTTGTGTGTCGCCGTATAGGCTGCACATCATATCTTATCATTTCTAATATTTCTAAATTGCTTTCTTGAATAGATAACATGATATTTATTTTATACAAGCTATCGTAAGCTGTTTATTTTATATCTATTGATATTTCAACCACCTCATTTCACATGTGCGCCATTTTTGCATTTTGAATATTACTCAGTTTAATAACTGACACAATTTTGTAAAGTTCGGTGTGAGTACCACTTGATCATAAAAAATTAATCTATATATATTTTTTATAACTACTTATTATGGAAAATTGATCCCTCAGACGATTTTTTAAAATTTTGATTTTAACGACATTTTTTTTTATAATGAAAATTTTAAACACTTTTTATTAAAAAATGGATTAACAATCAACCGTAAGAGATAAATTTATGAAAGTTCTATTAAAAAAAATACCAACCACGATTCGAACGCTTAACTACAATAAAAAATACTCACCAATTTCATAATTACAAACCATTGGAAAATTTTTCACTATAATGCAGGCTTGTTTTAGAGGACGAAAAAGTATTTATTTAAAAAAAAATTAATTTTCCTTTTTTTAAATAAAAATAAGTGACGACATATTTACAATGTAATTATTTTGTAATTTAAGCTTGTTTGTTCTATTCATTGTATTCATTGTATTATTATTTTAAATTATCACTGATAAAACCATCAATAAATTCATTTTGTTTAAACTAATGACGAAGAGTGAAATTTTCTTCCGGAATCTTAAACTTAAATGGATAAAGCATATGACCGATAAAAAAAAAAACATGATTTTTTTGCCAAGAAATCAGTAAAATTTTCATTTGTGAACTTAAAAGTTAGTTAATAATACGAAAATTCTAAGTCATAAATTTATCTCTTACGGCTGATTTTTAATCCATTTTTTAATTAAAAGTTTCATTATAAAAAATTTTTTTGTTAAAAGCAAAACTTAAAAAAATCGTTTGGGGATCACTTTTCGGTCATAAGTACTTATAAAAAATATATATAGATTAAATTTTTATGAGCAAGTCGTAAATGGGAGGTTTTTTTTTCAAATACCCAAGAAATTTTTACAAGATGAAGTGCAAAATGAATTGCAAAGCAGTAACGATGAAGTTTATATGGACGCGCCTGAAAATGATAAATTGGATAGTCATAATATTACTGACGAAAGTGACTCTAGTAGTGGCAACGACATTATAGTTACTAAAAGACGGAGAACCAAACCTTTACCATCAAGTTCAAGCAGCAGTGAAGAAAATGAATCAGCTACCAGACAGCTACCTATTTACTTCTGGGGTAAAATGGTAGGACCACAAACCCATAGATTTTTTCAACCCCTTTTTCACCGATGAGCTAATAATAAAAATACTGTAACAAACAAATAACTACGCTAGACATAAAATAATACAGAAGAAGTCGTCAATACGTTTTATATGGCACACGTGGGTAGATACCACAGTACAAGGATTTTGTCCTTTTGTCCAAAATATGGGTACAATAACCTTATCTAATATCCAAGAGTCACTACAGTTTAAGCCCAAAATACCTTTTCTTAGTAGCATATTTATAAAAGAACGATTTTTACAATTTTTTAGCAATTCATGGCGGATGCTAACACCGGATATGTTCATTCAATTTTGCGAAATCTTGACATCAGGCACTATTCAACTCAACCGCAAACTTATACCTGATTCTATCAAAAAGCCAACATTTGCGGAAGATGACATATTTGCATGCAGATCAGGTAATTTGATGTTATTGGCGTGGAAAGATAAAAGGGTCGTCATCACACTTACATCGTGGGATATTTCAGGAACACGGGCTATCAACAGAAGAGCACGTGGAGGTAACTTACAAGTAGTAAATAAGCCAAATGTAGTGGTCAATTATAATAAATATATGGGAGGTGTCGACCGCGCAGACTCTTATTCATACTGTCATACTGTTTCCTGAGGAAGTCTATGACATGGTGGCGAAAGTCATTTTTCTGGGGACTCGAAATATCTAGTGTCAATGCATATCTATTATATAAAATTTAACAAAGGGACCAAAACTAAAAACCAATGACACATCTGAAGTTTATTCGGGAATTGGTTGACGAGATGACAAAAAACGTTTGCCAGATGGCCAACAACTCTGGAAGACCATCATCTGTGGATACTGAAGAGCGGCTAAATGGTAATTCACATCTTTTACGCCAAAATGATGGTGCGATATGTTCTGAAAGTAAAGTACTGGTAACTGCTTCGAACGGTACCATACACCACAACCTTATAGGATGTAATTTATTAAAATTGCATATACATTTATTTTATGATTATGGTAGTGATTATGATAATGTTAGGTTTTAATTTGTGTTCGTCCATCCTCAAGATTTATTATTTTTGTAAGCCATTACCAATAAATACCAAAATATATAAAATAAAACAAAATCCCATAGTTATTAAGCGATTTTTTTAATTAAAAAAAAACTATATAAAAAATCGGAGTAGGCAGGTAATTAGATAAAATAATAGTCCCGAGTACGGTGTACTCGCGAAAGGACATATATACGAGTGCAAAAGGTTAACATCCATTTGACTATCGAGCAAGAAAAGAGCTGCACTCTTCCCCTTTTAGATATTCTTATTAATTAAAAACCAGAATTAAACTTAGGATTTGCTGTCTCTGGAATAGCGCGCCTCTCCTCATCATCCTTGAACAATTCCTCACGTTTGAGTGTATATCACTTCCTGGACGAAGATCAGGTCTACTACAAAAACCTAAAACATTTTCCAAAAGTATAACAGCGAAACGAAATTTTGAGCTTGCTCAAAAACCTCTCCACATTTGGGAAAATTTAATGACAAAATTCAGCTCTAAATAGCACGTCGATCAATAGCTCCACTACAATTAAAGTCCTTCCATCTAACACCAGAAGATGGAGTTCTACAACCTGAGCATTTTAAGTTAGTCTGTTAAAGTTATTAAACAAACGGTATTAAAATGAATGAGAAATGTTGCAGAATCTCAGCTTTTGCGGTCGTCTACGAATGTGTAAAGCTAAAGAACACCGAATTAAAACCGAACGACATTACTTTCGTGCGGATTTTCCAGCATGCCGAGAATCTAGGACGATTTTAAGCCGCCGATGAATTATTTCTAAAAAATTTGCATTCAGGACGCTCACCTAGCGTGACTTTTGGCACGGGTTTTCTTCTCGTGGGGATTTTATGGTAATGAACTAGCGGAAACACTAGACGGTGACGTTATCCCACCAAGATTAGCCTTATACACCTTTTTAACGACCGGGATAACTCAAACACATTTAAATGCAGAGTCGTTAATGTATTCAGCCAGCACATTTATGTGTGCTTCTTTAATGGATTTCGTTCTTTGCACTACATTGATAAGAAAAAATGTTATAGCCGAGATTATAGCTTAAAATAGGAAATGCAACAAAAAACATGCGACTAAAGTAGTACCAACACTAGTAAGATAAGAAACAATAGATTAGCATTCACTATCAAAAAAATCTAGGCAAAGAACTAAAACAAACAAAACAAAAGGCAATATGCACATCATGTTCTACAAAAGGACGTCACAACAAAGAACTCCTTAAGAATTTTTTTTTACAACATTATGAGGATCATAAGTCAAACTTAGAAACATAACTAAAACAAAACGGTTCCAATCGCAGCTTTAAAAACATATCTTTTTATTAAATAAATAACCATCCCCGCTGCCAGGTCAGACAACATGGTTGTTGGGCCTCTATTTGGCAATAAAATGCCATATATTCTTGATTTATTGCTTTGAGGCTTAAGTATTTGACAGTACCTTAACCGCAGACAATAGTGACGATTTTTTAAGTAACTGAGGCTATATTATTATTATATTTAATATTTTGTATATTAATAATATATAAATATATAAATAAAGTGTTACTTTGTACTAGTTTGTTTATATACATGATGTTTCAAGAGTAATAAACAGTTGTCAAAGAAAATCACGGAATCGGTTGTGCAAGCACTATATTTCTGGTCGAAGTATATTTATATGTGCTGTTTGATCTATCTTAAGCCGATCACTTTCAATAGACTACCTCGCCGCAAATGTTACATTTCATTAATTGGGAAAATCACGTCGGTTTAAAATTTCATTGATTGAGGATCGCACCCTAATCAAAATAAACCGCATTCAAAACTGAAATTTCCAACGGAAATACGTTTCCCAGAATTCGTAATTTAATTGGGGAGCCGTTAATCAAAACCAATAAAAGTTCACGTCAAATGTACCGTTTGAAACGAACTCGATAGAGTTCTTTCAATCCCTGCGAAACCTTACGGCACGTGAAAGGCCCCGCGATTGGCCCCGGCAAAAGGAAATCCTGAAGTAAATGTTTTTGTTTGATTTTTTTTTTATCGGAAACTATTTCGTTGTTTGAAAACATATCTTGGCAAATGAATATGAAACTTGCTCCAGAAATCATTATCGATCGTTTATATATTTAGATTCTATTTCCTTTATGCTTTGGTTTTACACTTAAATGGATGCAATTAAGTGCGGAAAATGAAAATTCTTCTTAATCTTCTGAATGTTTTTGAACTGGCTGCAGCTCTTAGTAATCCTCGTATAGACAGGAAAAATCAAGTTCATTGGTTTTAAATCAGGAGATTCTGCATCTTCCAGGTCGTTTTGTGGGAGCTTCCGTTAATGTCCAGGCACCATACAAGTAATCTTAGTTTGGTTTGCAAATGAAGGTCTCTTAGAATTCCGATGCTAACAAAGGTGGCTTTTGCTTTCTCTATGCGGCATCTTATTTCTGCAAACATGCGGAATTAAGAAATAAGAATTGAGAATTATGTTTTTGTTGCACAGGGATGAAAAACACAAAAAGAGAACATAAATTGTACAATGCAATAAAAAAATGATATTCTCTGTTATCAATATTCGTAAATATAGAAATAAATATTGATTTTTTAGACTGGGCGTAGCAAATTTCCCGTATGAAGAAAGTTTGCAAAAATTACTTATCTTCGAATTAGCATAAAGGTCTTACTACTTATCTTGATTAATTAGTAAAAGAACTCATTTTTTGGCAATTTTTTAATACTTGGCGTTAATTAATAATTAATAATACTTGTTAATAATTATTACAACAAATAGAGATAAAATAATTTTTGACATGCTTGTTAAAATTTTCTTCTGAAAAAATACATAAATTTTGCTAGGTTTCTTCTCTTTCTTCTCTTATATATTTAATTTATGAAAAGAAAGTATTTCTAAAAAAAACGAAAACACTGCAACTGAGAAAATTTAGTTAATCGATAAAAATGTAGTTAACAATTTCAAAAATATTAAAACAAAAAAAAAGAATTTGCAATAAGTACAGATATTCCTTATTTTTTAATTCTCTTTATAATACTTATTTGTTCAATTCAAATCAATCGCTGCGCTGTTTTTTTTATACAAATTTATACAACATTGGCAGCAATCAAATGAGGAAAATACTTTTTCCGCGATAATTAACAACGCTATTTTTTCTTTCAGCGTACGGAAAACACAAAAAACAGAAGGAAAAGAACGATAAAAAATACAATGCACTAAAGAAACAACGGCAAATATCCTATTCCTCATTACGTAAATGTGGAATTCTTAGTAAGATAATCTCTAATATCCATAACATTTTTTAAAGTTACTGAATTTGTGTTTCGGCCCCAAGGAGAGACCCAGTACTTAGTTTGACATTTCCAAAAAAAAAGGTAACTTTAGTAGGGCTGTATTCAACGGTATACATAATTCATAGCCCGTAGCCTATAGTCGAGACGGTTTACTTAGTTACTTTTTTCGCAATACTTTGATATTCCTAAGATTGGAACTTAATAATTATTGCAATAAAAATTTAAAAAAGAAATTTTTTGGTAGTTTTGGTTATTCTATAAAGTTCGGCAGAAATTTTTATATATTTCTTTATTTTCAGTTTACTAAATGAAAGTACTGTTTTTTTCTTTACTGAAAAAAAAAACAATTATTTTTTACAGATTTATTGTTTATTTTTGTTCTTAAGGTTCCTATAAATCAAACTTGAGCTTACAGCCAATTATCACAATAATTAGAAATATTTATATATAATATAACATATAATATAACATAAATTTTGGTAGTTTTGACTATTTTTTAAAGTTTCTGTGCAACTATAATATGAGTTAACAATTTATTGACAATTTCATATTCATTAAGTTTTTATACATTCTCATGAACTTATGATATCGTTTTCTTTATAAATGACAATTTTTTTCTTTATAAAAATAAATCAGTAAAATAAATAAAAAACTTAACGGAAAAACGAAACTGATATTTAGAATTTTTTAATTCTCACTTTAATGTGTGTTGAATATGAACTATTAAACATTAAATTGGCTATATCATATTGTTTTTATATACAAAGTTTATTCTCCAGCCTCATCCAATTAAAACATTTTCCAGAGTATTGACAGTAGGAGGTCACACCTATAATTCAAATTCAAAATATCAAAATGACGGGTTTTCTTGTTTAATTACAACAACACGGCGAAAACTATGGCGAACCATTTAAGATTATATCTGAATTAGAACAGCTTGACTTTCCAACTAATCCTACTATTGAAATAGGGCACACGCCGCCACACTGAGAAAAATAATCAAATAAATTTCATTAAGATCTGGAGCGCCGAATTGAGGGCGAGCAGATCGGAAATAATTGAAAACAACATCTTGCGACAAACTTGACAAGATTACTATGTATAAAATAAAAAAAATTAAATTACTTATTTAAAATAATCAAATTTTAAGAAATAAAACTTATAATAAATAAAAAAATGACCTCTTTCTGTCCCTCACTCATCCATCTGGAGTCGGCATGTATTTGAGACCAGTTCATAATACTTTTTGTCCCTTGTACCTCTTCTGTAACGTCTTTTACTTCTTATCCACATAACATTTGTCTTTCCATAGAAAAGGAGTGTGGATATCGATTACTTTTTAGGATGAAGCTAAATTTACCCATACTAATCAAATTCGGATCTTAATTTCCGTTGCTTACTTTTCTTTCTTCCCTTTACCAGATATTTATTCATCAACTTAATCTATTATTACTTTTTGCACGACTTACTTCTACAGGGTGTCCTAATCTGGTATAGGCACGAAACATCTTTGTAGATAACATAAAAAAAAACAAAAGAATACATGAAATTAAGTTATAAATACGAGCAGAGGTCCAAGATATTAATTTGTGCGACCAAAATTAACCAACCTAGTTCGTTACCCTCGGAGGTGCGGGTCAATCGGTTTATTACATTCGGTTCCCATTTCAATTTCACACCCACCCCCCACGCTTTAGTATTATTTGGACTGGTGTCCCGCGAGAGATGATTAATTGTCAGCAGATATACGCAAAATTATATAG